AATATCTATGTACACACACACACACACACACACACACACACACACACACTCAAAATCCAGAGGCAGGTTTTAAAAATGGACCTATTTTAAAAGAAGTTATTTCCCCCTTAAATTCTACCGCATGAACCAACAACTTCTGGCATTCGTACATATTTAAACATTTAGCACTACTACTGGTACAGAAAGAAGTTAATAATACTAGAACATATGTTACTAGGGTTTCACTTTTGCCTACTAGTCATACACTAATTTCCTCTTTTACATGCAGCTTTAATATTGTTCAAAACAATGGCACAGATGAGGAAACAAAGTCAACCAACTGTCTATTCCCCACTACCCACTACCCTATCCCAACATCAGACTTTTCTGGACAACCTTGCACAGTTGGAGTGGTCTCCAGGTTACCAAGGAGATAGAGACCACTGGGAGGAGGGAGCTGACTCCTCCTTGGGGCACCTTCCTGTAAACATGGCTTGGGGCCAGGATACCCTAGTGCCAAGGAAGCTGCTCCCTAGATTTGCAAACCAACTAGTTTTTAGCAAAGGAAGCAGACTGTTACCTGGGGAGGAAAGGGTGTGTAAGTGGGGGAGGGGCTTGGAGAGGGGGCTGAGGGTTCCTAGGGATATGTGCCCAGTGCCTTGAATGAAGCAGCTTTCAGACAAGGGACTGGAGGCAGGGAGACAAAAACCTTAGGGTACAGAGAGAATCTGAAAAAGGAAAGGAAAAAGGATGCATTAGCCTATGTCCACATGGATCTCAGGCTCAATTCTGCCATGTTCTTTCCTAGTCTCAGTGAGCTCAATTAATCCAGGGGGCTGAGGCCAGGTCTGGGCAGGAAAGTTGAGTGGCTGGTAAGCTGTGCCCTTCAAAGAAGTGGACATTTCTGGGCACACTTGCAAGCAGAGGTCAGAATGAAGTGCTGAAATGAATGCGGTTCCTCCCTGGGTAAGGAAATATTCTCCCTGGCTTCTCCTCCCCTGTGTGAGTGGAGCTCTAACTCACTACAGGATGCTGTTCTTTGCTATCAGTCCTGGGGGCCATCCCCACTCTCTCCCCACGTCAGAACTGAACGTCCAGTGTGAGCTCTGAACTATCTGCACTTCAGGTTAGGGAAGGTGGGGAGGGAGTGAGCTACAAAAATATTCAAGCAGATTATTGTCTACACATCCTAGGATGGGTTCATTATTTGGCAAGATTGTTTTTGTTTTCCTACATGATTATCACCTGAGTGCTTTTTAATTAGCTAAAATGTTTTACTCCTTAATTAAAAGCAAAGAATATACAATATACTTGAGTTATACTGAAGTTACAACTTCATTTAAGAAAATAGGTTTGACTCAAAACTCAGTGCAAGTGGCAAAGTTGACCATTGCTGTACAGTATCTGCAACAAGGGGAACACACAAGGAGAAGAGAACAGACCCACAATGCTCATAGGACACCATTCTGTGGTGTCGAAACCAAATCAACAAAAGGTCTGAGATTAAACCTTGAGAAAAAGCTTCCAACATTGAATTTTGTCTGTAAATAAGTACAGATTGAAACTGAACTGTGAAGCAAGAAAAATGACCATGTTGACAATTACAAAACCAGTTCTGGCATCATAGACAAAAGAGGAATGTTGGAACCTGTTTGTAAATGATAAACGAAGTTTCCAGTTTTAGGATGAGAAGATTGAGGCATGCAGGACTTTTGCATATGGATATATATTTCATATATATTATTTATAATATGTACAGTATAGCTATAAAACTTTGATGTGTATAGAAGCTGTCTTCAATGAAAAAAATTGAACATTCAGAAGAAATTCCTGAGATAGGGTTTGTGACATGGGCCACTGAGAAAAAAAATCCGTGGTTGGGTCCTAGAGGTGTAGTCTATCCCTGTGAAGTCGGCAATTAACCCACAGACAGACAGTGTCAGCACTGTTGTCTTCCTTGCCAGGGCAAGGGGTAGCACCATTGTGAAGGTAACCAGCACTCCTGCTTACAGAGAGGAGGGAATACTTCGGAACAGTATTGCTAAGACTGCTGTAGTGTGCACCAGATTTGCTCTTGGTTCTTCAAGACACAGATGAACAGTGCCCCTGGCTGGCAGAAGAACATCTGGAGAGGGGAGGTGTGAGGACTGGAGGCAGAGCTGATCATACTGGCTAGGCATAATCTTTCCTGGGCTGTTCGTCTGTTGTACACTTCTCAGTCATTTCCTGACAGAAGTCCACGGTCACTGACTGGCTCCTGGCTTCTAGAGGAGGTCCTCTTTCTGAGAAGGTCCCAGGATCAGTACCTTCCAACCTCCTCCCAGAGGTACAATTCTCAGAGGTGTTGCTGGGCACCCAGGGGAGCCCAGGGGGAGCTGCCCCTGGCTCCAGGCAGCAGGGTACATTTCCTCCTACTGCACACTGGGAGGGTGCAAGGCTCTGCTCAACCCCCAAAGGAGCGGGGTTAACACTGGCTCCAGGGAGATCCATGGGTATGAGGACAGGGCAGTATCGGTGCAGGGCCTGGATCTGCTCTGGGCTCTGGATGTCTCGGCAGACCTCCTGCGAGAGGCAGGAGAAGTTGTCCAGCAGCTCCCCCATACAGGCTTTCAGTTGATTCCTCTCTGACAACAGTTTCTCTTTCTCACATACCTGGGAGAAAAACAAACAAACAAACAAAAATAAAACAAAATCAAGACTGTACAAAGCCTCATTTCGGAGGGTTCTCAAACCTTTGTTTTGGCATCCTATACTGTGACCTAACTGCAGAATGACTAGGGCAGAATCTAGGAAGTTACACACACTTCTGCCACATGTCACAGCTGGGGAGCTAGCTCCTTGACCACTTGAGCACTGACACTCACACCTTTCCCAGCATGGTATCCCTCCCTCTGAGGCCCAGTAAGCACTACCAGTTGAGTCACCACCAACAGGAAAGCTGGAGAGGCAAGTGACATTCTACTCTCCTAGAATTTGGAGTTTGTAGGGAACTGACTGGAAAATTCTTTGTTTCAAACCTTATAGTTGAAAAAAATCTTCCCTTAATAGGTTACTATCTTGTGTGTGTGTGTGTGTGTGTGTGTGTTAAAAGTCAATTAACTGTTTGATATTTTTAAAAAGACAGAAAACCAAACCAAAGCAAACAAAGCAAAAGCCAGCTGCTGCCAGGGATTGAGGGAGGGAAAGATGGTGGCATACAGTGGATTTTAGGCCAGTGAATCTCTTCTGTACACTATGGTACTGTCAGCACCCTGTGCAAATCCATACAGTGCACAATAATGAGTGTGAACTCTAAAGCTCACAAGTAGTAAGACTTTTCCCCATTAAGCGAAATCCCACATATGCTCTTGAATTTCTTAAATTTGTCACCCCTTGACAGATGAACTTAGTGCTGGAGAGAGGACTAATGAAAGTTTCACCATCAATATTTGTGTGAGGAAGTGCAGTGAGGGTTCATGACACACACATGATAAAGCAGGCAAAGAAACTGCGGGTCTGAGGCAGTGTGGGGAGAGCGGTAGCCAGCACTCTGAAGATCTTGCGGGCAAGCCGAGGCAGGGATTCGAGGAAAAGTGGAGAGGAGAGAGAGGAGCATGTCTCTGACACAGGAACTGTGCAGGGACTAATATGAATGCAATCTGGCAGGCGGTGTGGGTATGTGTGTAAGAGAGAGATTTATATGGGGGAAAGAACACCTGTTAAAATATTTATAAATTTATCTAGAAACATGCTTTAAAAATGAAAAATAAACAGATGTACAAGTGCAGCTTGAGAGAAATACATTATGTGCATCTGAAAATTAGGGTGTCTAGCATGTGGGAGACATTGTGGGGGCAGGAATTGAGTACGGGGCCTATTGGGAACTATGCAGTGACAGACCAGGCTAGCCAGCCCTGATCACTCAATCCATCCCCGCCATTGAGACATAAGCAAGTGGACCCAGAAACTTGGCCTTCTCGTCGCTGAACCTGAAGGTCTAGAAATGAGGGCCAGTGTCTTCCAGGAAAGGAATCTCAGGCCCTTTTGTCTCAACCCCTTGGTCTAGGCACTACGCTCTGTGGGCCTACTCATCTAAAAAATGTTCTTGGATACTTTATTGGAGAAGAAAATAAGGTGCCATAAGTGACATGGTTTTGGCTTTCCTTGGAAAAGGAAGAACAGGGGCTGGAGAGATGGCTCAGAGGTTAAGAGCACTGGCTGCTCTTCCAGAGGTTCTGAGTTCAATTCCTACCAACCACATGATGGCTCACAACCATCTGTAATGAGATCTGGTGCCCTCTTCTGGCCTGCATGGATACATGCAGACAGAACACTGTATACATAATAAATCAATAAATCTTAAAAAAAGGAAAGAAAAGGAATAGCTATTGGATTAAGGTCTCTTTATTTCAAAGCACAGCCGGGTGAAACACAGGCCAGAGCTAGGTTAAGAACCCAGCCAGCGCGGCCAGAACAAAGAGAGGTCCCGTCCCCCCTTAAGAAGCCCCCTTTACGTCATTCCGGCTTTCCTTCACCCCGCCCTTATGGGCGAGTCCCCAGGTCCACCTGGTACCTGCCCCAGGACTATTGGGCGGGGCTAGGGTGACTCCCTACAAATAGCCTTAGTTAAAAACATGGAATTTTGGTAGGACATGCCTATACTGCCAGCACCTGGGAGGTAGAGGAAGGAGGACTACATTTAGGGCCAGCCTGATCCACAAAGGAAGATGTTCTTGTAAGAAACCAAAACTGAAGCCAAAGACCCTCTACTATGAATCTCTAGGTTAGAGTTGTGCATAGATGGACACGTGGAGCTCTTGTTCAGCAGTGAGACAAGAGACTTTTGTTTTTGTTTTCAACTTTATACAAGCAAGAGTAATCTGGGAAGAGGGAATGCCAATTGAGGAATTGCCTCCATCAGACTGGCCTGTAGGCAAGTCTGTGGGAGGCATTTTGTTAATTAATGATTGATGTAGGGTCTAGCCCACTGTGCATGGTGCCACCCCTGGACTGGGGGTTCTGGGATGTATATGAAAGAAGGTTGAGCAAGCCATAAGGAGTAAGCCAGTGAGCAGAGTTCCTCCATGGCCTTAGCACTGGTTTCTACGTCTAGCTCTTGCTCTGACCATCCCTTCAAAATGGACTGTGATTGGGATGTATACGCCAAATAAACTGTTCCTACCTCAAGCTGTTTATGGTTATGGTGTTAGAAAGCAAGTAAAACATACAGCATTTACAACTTGGGCCGGGCAGTGGTGGTACATGTCTTTAATCCCAACACTTGGGAGGCAGAGGCAGGTGGATCTCTGTGAGTTTGAGGCCAACCTGGTCTATAGAGTGAGTGCCAGGCTAGGCTCCAAAGCTACACAGAGAAACCCTGTCTCAAAAAAAAAAAAAATAAGGACTTGAACAATGTGGATGGAGAAAGGGCAGCAGTGTTGTCCTGTTTTTTCAACTGAATAAACCAATAAAGTATTTTAGAAACTTGCCTGATATCTATCTATCTATCTATCTATCTATCTATCTATCTATCTATCTATCTATCTTAGATTTTACTGTTTGTTCAGAATTATACAATAACATGGTCCAGAATGCTAGTTATTAAAACCAGGCATATAGGTAGAGAGTTAGTTTAGAAGTATATCTGATTTTTAGATGCATGCAGTAGACATACTCTATTATAACATACAAATGGAAAATAAAAAGGAACCAATTTCATAAGAAAGTTGAAGGATATGACACATGATGACACACCTTATATCTATATACATTTCAGGTGCAAACCTATTACTTCTGTTGAGAATAAACCCCGCTTTCCCTGAAGGGTGACTTGGCCCTCTACTTCTCCAGCTGTAACGGATGTGACTTTATATATATTAGTCTTGGTCACTCTCAGTTGCTGAATACCTGCTCACCAACTCACCAGTTTTCGTATTTCACATTCTAAATTCTGAATGCAGTCCAGTTTCCTCTTGCGACAGCGTTGAGCTGCAATGCGGTTCTTACTACGCCTCCGGATGTCGTGAATGAACTCCAACTGTTCTGAGGTTAGCTTGTGCATCTTAATCATCATCTGGAAGTCATTCCTGGGCAGATCTGTGATCTGATCTACAGGAAAAGGAAGTTTAACCTGGAACCAAGAACACCAGAATGGATTATAGTAGCTGGAGTGAAATTGTGGAAGTGAAACATACAAAAATGGTAAAACTCCTTTTAAAAATAATTAATTAATGTGTGTGTATATTGGTATATGTATAAGCACAGGTACCCACTGAGGCCACAAAAGGAGGGTAAGAGGCCCTGGAGCTGAAATACCTACTGTGGGTGCTGGGAACCGAACTTGGGTCCTTTGTAAGAGCAGTATTTACTTTAAACTGCTGAACCATCTGTCCAGCCCCAATGAAATCTCATTTGTTTGTTTGCTTGTTTTTCCATTTTGTTTTTAATTTTATGTATATGGGTGTTTTGCTTGCATGCACCTCTGTGCACCATATGCTTGAAGTACCCAGGGATGCCAGAAGATGGCATTGGATCCTTTGTGACTGGAATTACAGATGGTTGTAAATCACCATGTGGGGGCTGGGGGGTTGAATCTGAGTCTTCTGGAAGAGCAGCCAGTGCCTTTAACTGTTGAGCCATCTCTCTAGTCCCCAAATCTTTTCAAAAGATGACCAAATCATATGGAAACCACTGAAAGAGAGTAGTGATTCATATTCTCTTGTGTCAAATACAAGTAAGATGAAATATTTGTGTAATTAAACAATACAAATACACACAAGTAGGCCAGGTGTGGTGGTTTATAACTCTATCCCAACATTCAGGAGGAGGTCGCTTGTCATGAATTTTAGCATACCGTAGTCTACACAGCAAGTTTGAATCTAGTCTGGGATACATAGTAAGGTCATGTCTCAAAACACACACACACACACACACACACACACACACACACACACACACACACACACACACACACACACACACTCACCAACACACACCACAAAATGAAAATGCAAAAAAAGCACACACAAATTATAATGTTATCATTCATTCCTGAGGTTCGTTCGAAGCAAATGACATTGAACATATTGGAAACTAGTTTCTTCAATCCTGTAGCATTTTTGTAAGGGAGACAATGGTTTAGCAAAGCTATCTTCTACAAGAACCACAACTGAGTTCAACAAAATGACCAATTTAAAGTTATCTTCGAAGGACTGATGCAAAGACTTGAAAGATGGAGCCCAGCATGCCTTGAAGACACTGGAAAGATGCAACAGTCAGCAAGAGTCTTTGTTACACACATAGAATACAAGGAGATATCCTGGGTAGTAGGTGTCACAAATGGGCTTTCGATCTCACATGGAATGAGAATCCAGGGAGGGGACATCACCCTACTGAACCTCAATATCCTCCTTTGCAAAACAAGGTTTGCTTTTTAGGTTAGTATTATGAAAGGAGCTTAGAATATTTTTTAAAAACTGGCCAGCACACCTTATATTTTCTCTTATAACGTAATGTAGTTATGCCTCTATCCAAATGGACAGTCCTTCCTTCTGATAGATGGACCTCAGTGGACATTATGTGTTTTTCTTGAGGCTATGCCTTGAAGGGCACCAAGACTTGTACGTAGTCCTGCTATACTGGCTGCTCTGTGGGGGAGACCTGGTGCCTCCAGCTCATAGTCATTATTCTGCCAGTTATCTGAATGGACCACCTTGGAAACACATTCATTGTTAATTTTATTTATGTATTTTGAACTCAGTTTTTTTTTCTCACTCACTGTATGGGTCCTGGGAGTCAGACTCAGGTTGTATGCTTAAAGGCAGGCACCCTTACATGATAAACCGTCTTGCCAGCCCAGAAGTGGATCCTTAAAGCTAGTGAGACACTCTGACAACTAGTACCAGCCAACACCTGACTTCAAGTAACAGAGACCTTCCCTTGGACCAGCTGAGTTCCAGACACTCAGAAACTGTGAGATATGTTAAGTGACCATGGCTGCTGTAAGCCAATAAGATTTAGGGTGGTTAATTATGTGGAAATGCTTAATTTATCAGTAAGATTCCTGCTTTCGAGTCCTTGATAAGTTAAGGTAAACATTTTCTAGAGAGAGAATGATGAACTGGAGAGATGGCTCAGCAGTTAAGAGCACTGGCTGTTCTTCCGGAGAACCTGGATTTTTTTTAATCATTTTTTTATTTGAATTACAAATAAGATTGAATTACATGACAATCCCAGTTCCCTTCTCCCTCCCTTCGGAGAATCCGGATTTGATTCCCAGCTCCCAACCATCTGTTCACAACCATCTGTATCTCCAGTTCCAGGGGAATTCAATGCCCTGCCCTCTTCTGGCCTCTGGGCTCCAGACACTCATGTAGTATGCAGACAGACATACCCACAGGCAAAACAACCATATACATAAATAAAAATAAATGAGAAACCCCCAAATAAAGTGAGGATGACACACCCTTGGAGATGTCTTCTCTGTGTTGTTAAATTTTGGTATTTATTATTATTTCTTAAGAATAGCAACTACTAAGGCCTGACATAGTGACACATATCTATAAACCCAGAAGTAGAGGCATGGAAATTAGGAATTTGAGACAAGCCTGGGCTAAAGCAATGAGTTCATGCCTAATGCAGAAGATGAGATTCAAACCCAGGCTCCCTATCTCTAGGGCCTCATGAGTCCCCATGAAGTTTGAGGCTCAGGCCTGCAACTTTATCCCTGCCCTTGCTAAGGTGGAGATGAGGGTTTTCGGATTTCTTCATCATTTCTTCATGTTTGTACAGTTCCTGGAAAGTTCCAATCTCAGTAATCCCAGAACTTGGAAGGAGGTGGAGGTGGGAGGATTAGGAGCTCAAGGCCTTCCTCAGCTACACAGAGTCAGAGGCCAGCCTGGGCCATAACACCCAGTTCAGGTTACTTACTTTTTCTCATTCAATTTTTGTTTTTGGCTGGGCCAGCAGGTGGCACTATAAGCCTAAATGTCATGTGTTAGGCTAACTAATAAGTTGCTAAATTTGCAAGTAAGTCAAGCATTGTGGGTCATGCCTTCATGGCTTTAATAGCAGCATTTGAGAGGCAGAGGCAGGCAGATCTTTGTGAGTTCAAGCTTAGACCACTTGTTTCAAGAAAACCCAAACCAACACCCTGCAAAAAACAAAACAAATCAAAAAACCAAATTGATAGCAGCCACATTAAATGAAGTAAAAACAAAACAAAAAAGGTGATTTTAGTTTCAAGAACATATTTTTATCCCAATACATAAAGTACTTCTAACATATAATTTACACAAGTTGTTAATGAAAAAATATATTGATAAAAATTTTAAATCCAAAGTACATCTTATTGTTCCAGGAAATCACCATTAAGATGAGCCCTCTTAAAAGGCTTGCTAGGCATGTGCAGGGTGAGGCCATTAACCTCATAGAGCTCTCCAGAAAAACAGTCACCAGAAAAAGCATGTGGGCCTGGGTTTAACTGCTCAAAATATTTTAGTGAAGAAAGGAACCTCTTGTCAGTATTCAGATGGTGGAGTGTTGAGTCTGTTCTTTAAGAGTCTGAGGCTGCAGCTCTTCTACCCTAAGCTCAGGATCTTATTTGTTGGTTGCATCAGATAGACATGAGGCCCAGTCCTGGCATTTGTGCCCAGCTGATAACCATGCACAAAGGCAAGCCCACTGAAGGATCATTTACCTTTCCTGTGGTGGGGTGAGCATGCTTCATTGGGTTACTTCCTAGCTGAGAGCTTACTCCATGTAGCATTTGTGGCAGACTCCCAAAGGGTGCTCTGATCTGAACCCCACATAGTAAACGTGGGTCCTATGACATCTGTAAAACTTGGACCTAAGAGCAGGAAACTACAGTGGAGTACATTACACCACTGTGGGCTCAACCCTGCTCTGAGTGCTAAAGACAAGCTGCTAAGACAAATGGCTCCTTTTCAGGGGCTTGGAAAGGCCTTTGCTTGTGGGGCTGTGTTTCTACAAGGCCCATAATAATATGAAAGGCTATTTATTTCCCATTTACAACCTTTGGATAACAGATAACATCAGCTCCTAGATGGCACCTCAGCAGCACAGGGGTCAGCTATTGGAGACACTATTGGAGTCAGCTATTGGGCATCGCAAAGGGGCTCATGGACTTCTACTGCTGCTGACAGTACAGCCATTTTACTTCAGCTCCAGATTGCGTTTACTTATTTCCAGAAAGAAAATACGCCAACAGTGCAGTTCACAAGGAAAGTCAAAAGGGCTTCCACACCAAACGCTATTGTATTTAAAATGATCTAGACAGCAAACACAAAACAGGTAGATAGGATGGAGGGTTGGCAGGAGAAAGGGAAAATCAACAAGGGCAGTGTCAAAGTCCTTGAAGCAAAGCAAACCCCACACAAAATTTCATCAGGGCTTTTGCAATCAAACTGATTTTTAACGAGGGTCAGGGGTGAAGAAAATAGTCAACCACAGACTTTCTTCCCTACCACGGGAGAGGGACCCCTCACTCTTGTGGTGGTGGGTTTTTGCTTTTGGATTTGCTAACCACACAGAAAGGGAGAATTTACATTGACTAGCAGGTGGGACACAGAGGCTTTGTCACCTCCCTTCCATGTTTCTAAGCCAATGGGAAGCACCAGGCCTCTGGTTAGGAATGTTCTCCTCATAGGCTTTTGTGTATGCAAATGTGCCCCCTCAGGGCTGAAAGCCAGGTGACAGGGCCTTGCAAACTTGAAAAGCACGGAGAAGGCTGAAGCCTCTTCTCATTCTTCCAGAAGATTAAGACAACCCACACAAAAAGCTCATAGGGCTTGCTGTTTTAGTCACTGTTCCTGCATAACAAATCCTTCCAGACTGAACCTCTCATCAGAGGTGTTTACTCTCTGGATCCCCAGAGACAGCACAGAATAGACAACATGACACGATGAAACGATCTGCCAGCTCTCACTGCCACCTGTCTGAATGGCCTGCAGTTATAGTCAGCAGACTCTCTGGGTAGGGAGGCTGCACAGCAGGCGTGCCTGTGGGTTTTGTAGGTGAGATACTCTTTAGTTGTGAACTATTTTGGTTTTCACTTAAGGCTCAGAGATGCAGGAGTAGCCGCTGAGTCAGCAGGCCAAGGGCCAAAGAGGG